CCTGCCGGTAGGGCCACTGCGCAAGCGCAACTCCGCCCCCGCCTCCTCCGCCGCCATTCCCTCCTCCACTCTACCCCACCCTAGCCCCCCCTTTCCCCGCAGGCGCAGTTGCTGCAGCTCGCAGCTCGGTTTTCGAAGAATGTGGCTGGGAGGGGTGGCCCAGGGGGGGACGTTGCGCATGCGCATCCTGGATCACGCTGCGCGTTCGGGACTTGTTTTCTCCAGATCGCGGCGCTGTGCTAGGAAGTGGTGCTGCTCCGTTTGTGTAGGAAAGGCGTGTCCCCAAAAGAAGCCCATATGTGTCCTGGAAGGCAAGACCATAGCCTTGATGGTTTCCGAACCTAGCCTAGTGGGTGGGATGTCTAGGCACTCAGATGTTGCTATGAAACAAACTATGTACTGTATCTACGCTGGTTTTTGATCCTTGTAAAACCCTCCACGGTTAATTTGGCATGTCTTTAAAGTTTTTTGAAGGCCTCCTACAGAAAGTTCACTTTTTCTGGGCTGTTTGGTTGGCTTCTTTAGCTTCAGTAACGGCAGCAAAAATGGTAAATCCCTTAACAGCCTGAAGGCAAAACGAGGTGCATTTTTTTCTCTGCTATGACCAACTAGGATGTCTGTCTTTCAAAAATAAAGGTTCTTAAAAGTTATTATAAAAAAAGTAGTCCTGGTTATATATATATATTTAAGATAAATTTTTAAAAAAGGCAATGAGAGGATGAAATCGTGCATTGCCCGTGCCTAAACACCGAATATTTCATCACGGATGTTTCGTTCCAATCTTTTTGTTCTGCGTATATGTATTAGTTGTGGGGGTGTGATGATTCTGGTGTGACGGTGTGATGATATGTGGTACCTGAATTTATTTATTTGATAAGCATTTATTGAATGCTTACTACAAGCAAGGAGATGTGTTGAAGGATACACAGATACTAGAAGCTCATCGGATCCACAGGGAGATCCGGTCCTATACAGGAGAAAAGAGATGTGATGCCAGGTCAAGAGAGAGGCTGATAGAAAGTGCTTGAGAGCTGCAGGCTGAGTGCTGATCTTCAGCCAAAGGTAGAAATTAGAGCAGTGCCCCTGAATTCTTGGAACTCCAGGCCCTTTTGCTAAACGTGACAGTCGATTGTTGTGGTTAGCTTCTGACTCACAGTGACCCGGTGTACGACAGAATAAAACACTGACCAGTCGTGTGCCATCCACACAGTCGTTGCCATGTTTGAGCCCATTGTTGCAGCCACTGTATCAGTCCATCTCATTGAGGGTCTTCCTCTTTTTTGCTGACCTTCTACCTTAACAAGCATGATGTCCTTCTCCAGGAACTGGTCCCTCCTGATAATATGTCCAAAGTAGAGACGAAGTCTCATCATCCTCACTTCTAATGAGCATTCTGGCTATCCTTCCTCTAAGAAGGATATGTTCATTCTTTTGGCAATAGATTACCCTCCTCTAACTTTATTAAAAAACTTCCAAGGACAATATATATCATGACTAACGATACATCAAAACAATTACATTGTACATATTGCAAATTACACAGCACAAATGCCCAAGATTCTGATGCACCCTCTCCCACCCCACCTCTCCCCACAAACACATTGAGAATCATTGAATTGAAGGAAACAGGCTGGATGATTTCTCCAAGGGAAGAGCTGTCAAAAGTCTTCAAAAGATGCCAACCGCCTTGTATCCAGGGAAGATGCTAGATAGAATTTCTACTGAGGTAGACCTCTGGAATGAGAACCAAGAGGCCTTTCCTCCAGCAGCAGAGAGGCCTTGAACAAATTTTCTTTTTTTTTTTTTTTTTTGTCTGTGAGTCTTACTTTCCTCCTCATTGAAATGCTTGGATTGAGTTCTTGTTGTTGGCTGCCATCAAGTCCACCCCAGATTCATGTCGATCACATGTGTTACAGAGTAGAAGTGTTCCACAGAGTTTTCTTGGCTGTGTTGTTGTTAGGTGCCGTCCAGTTGGTTTGGACTTGTAGCGACCCTATGTACAACAGAAGGAAACACTGCCTGGTCATGCACCATCTTCACAATCGTCGTTATGCCTGAGCCCATTGTTGCAGCGACTATGTCAGTCCATCTCCTTGAGGGTCTTCCTCTTTTTGATGACCCTCTACTTTACCAAGCATGATGTCCTTCTCCAGGGACTGATCTCTCCTGAAAACTCGTCCAAAGTATGTGAGACATTTTTGTGTCTAAGGAGCATTCTGGCTGTATTTCTTCCAAGACAGATTTGTTCATTCTTTTGGGATTCCATGGTATATTCGATATTCTTCACCAACACCATACTTCAAAGGTGTCAGTTCTTCTTCCATCTTCCTTATTCATTGTCCAGCTTTCACGTGCATGTGAGACAATTGAAAACACCATGGCTTGGGTCAGGCGCACCTTAGTCTTCAAGGTGACAGCTTTGCTTTTTAACACTTTAAAGAGGTATTTTGCAGCAGATTTGCCCAATGCAATGCATCATTTGATTTCTTTACTGCTGCTTCCATGGGTGTTGACTGCGAATCCAAGTAAAATGAAATCCTTGACAACTTCAATCTTCTTGGCTATAGTCTTTATGAATGCATATCTCCAAGTCTTTCTTCCACTGGGTGGGCAGATTGAAGCCGCCAACCTTTCAGTTAGCAGCCGATCACAAACCACTTGTGCCACCTATTCTCCTTGTGATGGAGTTAGATCTGTGGTTTTTGAAAAGAGAAGTGACTAGACCAGGCGGAGCTCTGAACTACCCCTATTCTATGATTCCATGATTTTTAGTTTAAACATGAGGAGCAGAGATGTAAAAAAATTTTTTTTTGTTTGATTTTGAGATTTGTCCTAAGGTCATATCAGATTGAAGCTTGTAAGATTTCAAATGTATTAAGTGGTAATTAGGGTTTCCCCATATCTGTTACCAACTCAAGCAGATGTGCAATATATTATGAGATATATGCCGTTTCTTTATAACCAGAAAAACCCGTTGCCGTCGAGTCCAACTCATGGTGACCCGATAGGACAGAGTAGAACTGCCCTATAGGGTTTCCAAGGAACGCCAGGTGGATTCAAACTGCTGACCTTTTCGGTTAGCAGCCGTAGCTCTTAACCACTACACCATCAGGGTTTCTGTATAGAATGCCTTAAAATCCAGGATTCTTACCTTTTTTTCCTGCCTCTAGACCCTATTGCCAACTTTTCCTGTCCCACTGGAATAAGTTAATGGAAATACCATCAGCAGCTGCAGTTAAAGTGGTTGCTGCTGCTTTCATTATTGCCACCTTGAAGGCTGTTTGTAGTCTAAGACCACCCAAAGCCAGAATTGAGGAGTAAAGGATAGTGTCTACCAGTGCGAGCTAGATGGTATGGAGACGGCCTGAGGGAAAGGAGGTGCCACAGAGGTCCATCCAAGTTCATTAGGGAAACCTTGGGCTCAGGCATGTACCCCTCCTCCCTTTTCTCTTCCCTTTTTCCAACCCGCCCACCCATCCCCTGCTTTCCCACACAGATACTGAGTCTCATTCCTCACCCCCACCTGGCCCTTTTTGATCCACCCCTTCTTTCTTTCAAAGGATATGTTAACAACAATGTTTTTTGAGCAGTTACTATTTACAAGGCAGTGTTCTTGACATTCGGGGTAATTAAAAAATGAATCATAATATGGCACCTCTCCTAGAGTGTTAAAAGACTCAGGAGGGGAGAAAATTAACATTTATTAAACTACCATGCTCCAGGGCTATGCTAGATGCTTTCACATGTCATCTTATGTAACCCTTAGACCAGCCCTGGGGTGTGTTGTTCCTTGTGGTGGAGTCAGCTCGGGTTCAGGGTGACCTTATGTATAACAGAACAGAACAAAACGTTGCCAGTTCTGCACCACCTTCACAGTTGTTGGTATGTTTGAGTCCATTGTTGCAGTTACTGTGTCAATTCTCATGGACGTCTTTGCTGACCTTCTACTTAACCAAGCATGATGTCCTTCTCCAGCAATTGGTCCTGGCTGATGAAGTGTCCAAAGGAAGCGAGATGAAGTCTGGCTGTTCTCACCTCTAAGGAGCATTCTGGCTGTACTTCCTCCAAGAATGATTTGTTTCTTCTTCTGGCAGTCCGTGTTATATTCAGTGTTCTTCTCCAACACCATAATTCAAAGGCATCAATTCTTCTTTGTCTCATGCCTTGTCCACCTTTCATATGCATATGAGGTGACTGAAAATACCATGGCTTGGGTCAGGCGTATCTTAGTCCTCAAAGTGACATCTTTGCTTTTTAACACGTTAAGAGATCTTTGCAGCAGATTTGCCCAATGCAATACGTCATTTGATTTCTTGACTGCTGCTTCCGTGGGCGTTGATTGTGGATCCAAGTAAAATGAAATCCTTGACAATTTCAATATTTTCTCCATTTATCATGACGTTGCTTATTGGTCCAGTTGTGAGGATTTTTGTTCTCTTTATGTTGAGGTGTGATCCATACTGAAGGCTGTGGTTTTTGATCTTCATCAGTAAGTGCTTCAACTCCTCTTTGCTTTCAGCAAGCAAGGTTGTGTTATCTGCATATCGTAGGTTGTTGAGTCTTCCTTCAGTCCTGGTGCTGAATTCTTCTTCGTATAGTCCAGCTTCTCAGATTATTTGCTCAGCATACAGATTGAATAAGTATGGTGAAATGATACAACCCTGAGGCATACCTTTTCCAATTTTAAATGATGCAGTATCTCCTTGTTCTGTTCAAACGACTGCCTGCTGGTCTGTGTACAAGTTCCACATGAATACAGTTAAGTGTTCTGGAATTCCCATTCCTCGCAGCGTTATCCATAATTTGTTATGATTCACACAGTCAAATGCCTTTGTGTCATTACATTATATC